ACTCCTGCTGGCACTCGGCGGTGGCGCTGGAGCAGAGCATCGAGTTTATCCGCGACACTCTCGTGTCTAATGACGAGGAGGAGAGCCAGGCCAGATGTGCAGCAGAAGCGGGTAGCCTGCTTCTTCAGGGAAAGAAGCCAATCGTGGGACTGATCGGACCGGGATCCAGCTCCGTGGCCATCCAGGTGCAAAATCTCCTGCAGCTATTCAACATCCCACAAATCGCGTACTCAGCCACCAGCATGGATCTCAGTGACAAGGTAAACTGGAGAAAGTAGAAATTACAAAATGTAATATAGACAAGTTAAGACTGGTAAAAGTGTAAAACTTATTCCAACAGAGCCTGTACAAGTACTTCATGAGGGTGGTGCCATCTGACATGCAACAGGCCCGAGCCATGGTGGACATCGTCAAGAGGTACAACTGGAGCTATGTGTCAGCGATCCACACCGAAGGTAAGACCGAGTTCTACGTGCGTTCACGTCTATGTTCTCCCTCATTAGGCTGAGTATGGTGATTTCACTAAACACATTTATTTTAAAAGATGCACCTGTAAAAAGATAAAAGACAAATGTTTTGCACATGTTAGTCCTAATATCTATACTACTGAATACCTAGGTTAGCATTGCTAGCAGCACAACAGGGTAGTTTCATAAACTCATGATAAAGTTTATGACCCAGTAGAGGGTTTGCATTTGCACAGCAACAGGAACGAGGTGACCTGCTTTTAGTGAGTGACGGGAACGTTTACATCCAAACAGCTTCTATGGCAGGGACACAAAAACATTGGGCTTCCAAGATTGGAGCTGGATTGCCTTCCAGTGCATTTATCTGTTTCCATCAACTGTCTTCACACACTTGAGCACACAGAAGAAGTCGTCACATGAGGAACGCCATGCATCAGTACTGGAGTAAAGCTGGAAATAGACTATGGCAACAAAAACCAAGTGGCAAATAGTAAAATCTGAATCTTTGTATTTCATTAAATCCAATGGGAATGTTTTATTTTTGCTATGACAGCATGCCGATGTTTTGCTACATAGTTTCATGAGCAAGTCACCCCTAAATCAACTTTTTTGTCATTGATAGTCTATAAATGAGTGCCTAATAGTTTTGTAGATGTGTGCATTTTAGAGCGTTTCATTTAAAATGTAAAATTCAGCCTAAAACTGCCATTAGTGCACCCTCTTCAGGTTAAAACCCTGCTCTAAACTGATTTTGAACCAGCCATTGCTGTTGGCTAAGTGCTACCCAGTGATGTTGCTGACACCATGTTACATAGCTGCATTCGACTGAAGTCACGTCTTGGCCATGCCTCCAGCTGGCTCGGCCTCTCATGAACCGATACAAAATGATACAGCTCCGATCTACTCCTTCTCTTCAAGTGATCAAGGTGGAGAGAAAACCTTCCAGCCTACTGCAGTTTCTCTGTTCGCTCGTCCGACTGAGTGGTGTGTGTGTGTGTGTGTGTGTGTGGTTCATTACTCTGACTGAGCAACTCTGAGCGTAAAGGGGTCAGTCACCATCTCAGCACCGCACTCTCGGTCCACCGGGCGACGCCTCTTTTAGGCATTGTTTTTCAAACAGAAAGTGTGGGTGAAGGAAGACTCCACCCAGGGGGGTGACCAAACTTTTAAAAGTAAAAAAATAATAAAAATTAAACATAAATTGATTTGCTATAATCACCATGGCAACTCCACAAATGTGTCTTACTGTACGATGGGACTGTTCATGAGATGTTCCTAAAAGGTAAAATGTGTAAAAACCATTAAACATACAAACAAACCTGTTCATTTATGTAAACTCTAACTTTCTGTGACCTGTTAAAACTTTGAATGCAACAAAAAAAGCTGAGATTCACAAAACAGCCTTATTTGTGCATAAGTATGTTCATTCTTTTTGCTAAGTTTGTCGATGCTGAGCAATATTTTGATGTAACTGAATGTTTCTATCCCCCCAAAAGCTGCAGGAGGGGATTCAAATGAAATGTTTTTACAAATAAAGGAAAATTTCCAACCAGTACCAACAGAAACACACACACACACACACACACACACACACACACACACACACACACACACACACACACATATATATATGTGTGTGTGTGTGTGTGTGTGTGTGTGTGTGTGTGTGTGTGTGTGTGTGTGTATAAGCATTAGCACCTTTATTTGGCAAGTTCTGCTGAAAAAAAATGTCCACTTTTACACAAGCCCTGATGTGTTTCCATTGATGTGATTCCCTCTGCAGGTAACTATGGTGAGAGTGGTATGGAGGCATTCAAAGCCATGGCAGCGAAAGAGGGAATCTGCATCGCCCACTCTGACAAAATCTACAGTAACGCCGGGGAGCACAACTTTGACAAACTGTTGCAAAAGCTCAGAAGCCACCTGCCCAAGGCCAGAGTGGTGGCCTGCTTCTGCGAGGGCATGACCGTCCGAGGCATCCTGATGGCGATGACGCGGCAGCGCCTGGTAGGGGAGTTCCTGCTGGTTGGAAGGTGAGAGCCGGAATGTCAGTTTTCATGTTTGAGTACTAATTTGGTTTCTCAGGAATCTCTGTCCTGTAAATTAATGTCCAGTTGAGACTTTCTGCAGATGTCTGGAATCATCAGAGATGGCTTTGTTAACATCATCATCATCCTCATCCATTAGTGTCTTCATTGCACCATCAACTCCAAGGTATTTTAATCTTATGGATGTCCGTAGATATGACAGTGTGTTTGTACTACTCTTGAGTATTGGTAGCCCAGTAATCTAGACCATCCTCTCTGCTGATCGGTCTAGCCACGCTCCATTGTCACCTTAGCAAGTCTACCATTGGTCTGAACAGTTTTATGTCCTGTCAATCACAGCACTCTACGTTTGTTGGGTGGGCTTTGCACCATAACGAGAAGAACTACAAAGATGGCATCGGGTCAGGAACGGCGTTCATTTGAAACAACTTTGCAATCAACTTTGGATGATTTAGACTTGTTCTTTTCTGTGAGACGAGCACATAGAAGTACTAGAGCTACTTCTACGGTTTAGGCCCCGTTGGCTGATTTCCACAGCGATGAATACATCGTGTTGTTTATTGCTCTAATTGATCCTGATACTGTCCAGTTGCATGTGGCGATGGTTTGAAACCGCAACCCACTTTCATGAAACAATGCAGCCAATTTACTACAAAGCTGAGCTGGCATCAAGGAGCCTTTGGTCAGTCATAAGTGGTCGGCCTGTGGCAATAATGTGGCGCAATCATGATAACAGGATATAAAGGCTGTATGGGAGGCGGACATGGACTTCCTTATAGCTTGGACATAACTTGCTTTTCTTGGTGATTGAAGCCACGCTCCAAATGATGGCTGTCCTCCACAGTCCCCATGAACGGTCTGGTGATCTGAGCTCCAGCTCTAAAGGACAAAAGCTCCCGCATCTCTGCAACGCGTCAGTTTACCGACTCGACTGAAACTGTTTACGAAAGCAAATCTGACTGCTAGTATATGCTTTCTTTTTTCATATTTTTGCTGGTCCATGCTCAGCAGACAATCCACACATGATCATGACATCACCCTCTGTTGTGCCAAGGTGTAATCTTCATTCCCAAGTCTGCCATTGGGGTAATGTTTCTATCAAGCTTGTTGGCATGAATGCCACTAAATTCCAGCATTGCCTTGCTGCCACTCCACTCTTATAGGGAGCCTAAGTAACGCCCACCCACTTGCGGACCATGGGACCCCAGAAGAACGAAAAAAGGAATGCAAGTCAATGGGGCTAAAAATGCTATTTTCTAATTCCGCTTGTCGTGTGCCATTGATTTCACATTTGGCATCCGTGAATTTTAAAGAAGCATTTTGACACAAAGAACACGCTTATTTTCGAACAGGGGGAACGATACTTTAGGTTTTGTGTGAAAATAAGTCCAAGAGTACAAATGCACGAAAGCGATGGAAGGAAGAAAACTGAGGGAAAAGGGCTGTAAATTAAGCTACCTCCCCACAGGAGGAGAGAACCACCATAAATCTGGCCATTTGGTAAGTAGCAGCTAGGTTAGTGGAGAAGAGATTATGTGGTGACATCACATATGCAACATGCCGATTTCTAGTTTGTAATCATCCTAATTACGAACTTGTACAAGCTAATAAATCTCAAAGTGTGTGACTAGCATAGCCGAAACACCCATCATTACTTTTCATTTAAATTGCAGTATATCATATGCATGATCCAGCGCGTAAGGCTAAGCGGATTAGAAAAAAAGAGTTTTTAGCCCCGTTGACTTGCATTAATTTTTTTCTTTTTTTCTGGGGACCCATGATGCGGAAGTGACTCAGGCTCCCTATAAACCCCTTGATGCATGAGTGATGTCACATGCTCAGGATCCCGCCCCCAGTTTCTGGCTAGGTGCAAGAAGACAGCACACCTCCATTGACCACTGTTATTATCTGTCAGTCGTCAATAAATTGAGTTAAATCGCAACAAAATTACATTTATCAGCATGGTTAGCACATGCAGCGCTGCAGGCTGCACACGTAGACAAAAGAAGGACTGTAACGTGATATTGTACATGTTTCCAGCTGATAAAATACACCAAAGGCAATGGTTAACAGCCATGAAGAGAGTTTGTTGGAGTCTAAATCGCATGACAGAATAAAAAAAGTCAAATGTCTGCCCCACATGTCCGGACACGAAAAAGTTGTAGCCATCTCATGACTTGTATGCCTGTATGCTAAATCAGTTTCTTTTTTACATAATTACACAACATGTGCTCAGTAATTGGAGCAATCAATTTTTTTGTTTTGTTTACTGAGCTTGTCAGGTATGTCAGATGTATAAAGGTAATTTATTTATGTGATTATAAACAGTTTCTCCCTCCTGAGATCTGCCCAGCCTCTAAAGTCGTCGTCTTCGACTTTCTGTTTACTGAGCTCATCAGAATAAGTGGAGCATCTGTTAATCTGCTACAACAGACGTTGTCACGGCGATTTTTCAGCATTTACCCGAACAGTGAAGGAGAAATGTGGTTACACCTTCATTGCTTCTGCTGTGTGAAGTCCAGGCAGCCAATGCTGAGGACTGTCGCCCCCACATCTCGTTAGTTATTTCAAACAGATCTGGAAGCATCGCGCTTAACGACGTTAGTAACTGTTTGATCATCTGTGTTAGATGATCTAAAATAGTACTATAATATTATATTTAGGTTTTATTTTGCTAGCTTAAATCGCAGAGATACAGGTCTGGATAACTTCTGCAGAGGGTCCGTTTGTGCTTCAGCATTGTGCACATGTGTGCCGCTACCCAGATGTAAACAATAACATTCGACGGGTCTGTAAGACACATCGTGGCGGCAGTGTTACGCCGACTGGCCAGCAGCGTGTGTCTTATGAAAGAGGCTGTATTCCTCCTCATGAGTGGGTTGTTTCAGTGGTCAGATTATATTTATAGGATGGCTTGTCAGGGTAGCTTATTGGTACAATGAATCTCATTCATTCTCACACAAAAATACTATAAAAACTCTTCGTTTTGTGAGAACATCAATCAAGATCTCATCAGGTTCTGCTAAAAAATAACAATTTTCCTCCAGTCGTTGCTTTTATGTAGACTTTTAAATGTTGTGCGTGGGCTTTTCTTCAAATGGATGAAAAATGAGAAATGATTAGACAAAATGAAAAGATAAAAAAAATGCAAGGAATGAAAAAAAGCATATCAGTGGAGGTATAGCGAGAGGATTTGGTCTCTCTGAGTATCTAACGTGTTTTATTTTAAGGTTCAGCTCTGTGGCTCACTCTTTGTCCCTTGTGTTCTATAAATGCCTTTCCTCATTAGGAGCCACATATGTAGGCTGTCGCTCAAGTCTGACAGCAGGAAACATAAAATAACCTTGAACTACATCTTGCAAAACACCATGCTCTATAATCCTCACACACCTACACACACAGGTAACAGGTGTTAAGCACATTAACAAATATTGTTTTCTTTTATGTTAAATAGATCTTTCCATTTTATTTGGGATACAATTTGTGTCTTTTAGTACAAAAATTTTTATCCAATCCTGAGAAGTTTCTTTTTTTTATTTTAATTTTTGTATATTTTAATTTTGTTACATGCTCAAACCGTTTTATATCAGCCCTAAATGATGTGCCACCAGGCTGGTGAGTGTGTACTATGCACGCATGCCAGGATTCCACAAATAGGAAGAGAAGAGCTAAGAAAAGGTGAGAATTTGCTCTCTCTCTCTCTTTCTTTGTGTTACATTTAGTTATCAGCATTGGTTTAGCTGTTTTTTCCAAAGCTGTTGCATTCAAACAAATGTCAACCCTCTACTTGTTTGTAATGGAAAACTGCAATAGTCTTTAACTCATGAGGTTCTGCACTGGTCATTTAAAATAAAAAAATATACTACAAATTAGTCAGCGAGTTTTTTTTCTTTCATTATTTACAAAAAACAACAAAAATGGTTAGAAATAATGCAAATGTTTTAGTTAGACTTAGATCAAATACTTTGAAACGCTAAACTAAATTATGTTCACGCAAAAACTTATAATCATCTTTAATTCAGGAATACATGTAAAAGACAATAAATACATTTAAATCCTTGAGCACATAAATCATAATTTCATTACAGTTTGCTGAAAGAAAAAAAACTATAAATATCAGTCAGTTTTTGGGACGCTTTATTTCAGACAACAACAGGTGAATAAAACTGTTTTAAAATGCTAAAACCATGAATTTATAAACACTAAAAACTGAGAAATAGTCTTTTTAAAAAATGCTCATGTTTCTCAAATTTGAGCAAAATGTGTTTGATGCATTTTTATTTTAAGGAAAAGGAATGAAGGAGCATGAAATCCAGCCACAGCTTTCAAAGTTACCACAAGGACTGGTGTTCCATCCCAAAACTTTCACTGGCCCCCCATGAAAAATCCTGGGGACGCCCCTGTCGCTGAGCTGTGTGACAAATCTCCAGATCGCTGTCAGATGGATTCTGACTGCTGCATGCAGTCCCCCTCTTGTCAAACACCTTTTTCTGCTGACAACAACAACTTGATCTTCCACCGCTCACCAAAGCAGAGATGCCACTGTTAATTTAGTCTAAGTCAGGAACGTTTTTTACCTAAATTAGACCAGACATGTTTGTTTTGGTGCATTTTCTTGGCTCATTTCAGGCTTTTACTGACCTTTTAAATTGTTTTATTTTTTAAAGGGCAGGCTATGAAAGTTGACCAGTTTTGTAAGGAGAATCTGAGCGTGTGTGTGTTTGTGTGTGCGCGCACTCTTGTAAAGCACACTCCAGTGTGTCTTCAGGCATGTAGGTGGTATAGCAACATGCTGTAAGCAGCATATTGCCCTGCCAGGTCGATGTGTGGGTTTCAGAGCGCCTGTTGGAGAGTGATTCAAACTATCCAGAGTCAAAGCCCTCCATGCTTTTCACATCCATTCCTGGCTTTTTTATGCCAGTGCACCATTTCTGTTCTCGCTTCTCTAAGGATGTGTTATGAAATGATCTCCTACCTCACCAGGC